TGTATAAATTTCATGCCTTAAGGGGTTTTGTAATATCAAACTCTATTTCACTTTATATTCCTTTTAGAACAGTACTTTATTTTATATTAGCCTAAAATAAGCAGGTTCAAAACAGGAAAATGAGGTACCAGTTATTGACCTAGGGACACTAAATATATGTTCTTCATTGTCTTTTACATTGATTATTGTAATGTCTTCCTTCATGACAATAGGAAAGGGAAAAGACCCATTCTTTCGATTCTCTGTAGCTTGCAACTTTAAGCTCCAACATCAGTTGTACAATTTTGCTGAGGGAATTTGAACTCTTTGGGAAGATCTGCCCAACCAGCAAACCTAGACATCAGTTGGGAGACAGCATTTAATTTTAAAATGAAAATAGACCTTCTTTAAATGAAGAGTCAATTGTGCTTCCTTTATTGGTCATTTATACCCATTTTCTCAACTCTTCCATGAATGTGGCAAAACACCTACGTGCAGAGAGAAGACATCTATTTATTTCCTCTCCCCCATTTCAACCTTTTGTAGATTAAGAAACTTGGGCTGGTGTCTGATCTTTTTATTTGTCCCACTTCTAGCTCATCCGATGTCCCATGACCCAGCAGGAGAATACAGAAGGGATGCCTCCTTTTCTTTCTTTAGGCTCATGGAAGGGATTGGATGTGATTGTTTTGTGAAACCCACTCTTCATTTCAGAAGTGAAGAAAATCCAACTGGATTTATCAATAAGTGAAAGAAAATGAAATAAAAAGAAAGGAAAGAAATAAAAAGATAATGCTTCCGGCAATACAGCTAACAGAATGGGCTAAAAAAATATTGTTGGCTGGAAATGTTTCCATGTCCCATGCAGCAAATTCTGTCTGACTTCTTTTGCAGTTGAGGGCAGTGCAAACTTATGGACTGAAGATCCATTGACCAACGTTCTTTACCAGATAAACTCCAAATCTGCTTTGACTTGGCACCAGGCAAGGAAGAGCTGTCAACAACAGAATGCTGAGCTCCTGAGTGTCACAGAGATTCATGAGCAAACATACCTGACAGGTAATGACATGAAAAGAAAACAAAGTTGTAAGTCAAGTCGTGATTATTTTATTTCTACATAAACTGAACTTAAAAGTACTCAGCACTCAGCACGTATGATTATAAATATCAGGATATGGGTGATCCCTGGGCAGATAGTTTAGAGGGTATGAGAAATTCGCACTCTGATGACAATGCCAGGAATGGCAAATAGGTCTTATTTCATAGGCCAACTTTGTTTTATTGGTTGTGACTCTAGAGAGTATGCTAAGAAAGATTCTGAGGACTAATCTGGCTCAGAGTACAGGATGCCACAATCAATGGGTGATGTCATTCTTGGACACAAAGCCGTGGACCATTCTGGTTAAGTATTCATTATCCAGGTCTAACCTGAAGTCAAAACAGAGAGACTAGGGCCAGAAATAAATATGGGAGCAAATCCACCTTCAATTGTCTGCCTCAAGAGCCCCCTCCTGCCAGTTTGCTCTAACAATGCTATTAGATTAATACATCTCCTATCTTGTGACTACCCTGTTTCAAACACCCTTAATGGCTTCTCGTTTCCTATCAAATAGTTACTAA